AAATTTTAAATATTTTTCTTTGAAAGTAAGATTAAAAACTGAAATAATTTCAAATAATTTTTAATTTTAATTTGTGTCATTAGAAATACGAATATGACACATCAAAAACTACGAAAAGTAACTTTAGATTTAGACGATTGGAATTAAAGATACTTCTGTGAACTATTGTTTATTTTATTTGCAAATAACAATATAATAATTTAATAACAATATCTTTAAATAATTTTAAGTAAATAATAAACAATATCTAACACAAGGATTTAAATATAGTAACACCTTTTCAAATTCTGTCTATGAACCGACTATGGGTCCGTTGCGTTGCTCTAGAACTCGTAATTTGGAATGTTTTTCCACTAAGTAATTTCGTTGCACATATCACAACGGACTACTATTTGTGCTGATGTTAATTTTAGTTTGCAAGGCCGCCATTCCAATCTAACCTAACCTAAATGATTTGGCCGTATATACATTAATATGGTTTATATAAAACAAATACTTCTGATACACGCCCATATATCTTTGAAAAAAGATATATGGTCATAGCTTAAATTTGAGTCTTTCATATACCCATTTTTATGAATTTTATCATAGCTCTGACTTTGTGTTCCATAGTTCACACAGAGTCATAATAGTATTAAGTAAGTGATGAGAAATTTGTTTTTCAAAAATCGGGCATTCACAAAGAATGTGCTACGAGCACATTTCACATATTCGATACACATTTTTGTCAGAAGACTTAACTTTAATGCTATTTTGAGTTTCAGTGACCCAAAAAACGATTGGATTTGACGCTCGCCAAAACTCTGAAGCCAGCACCAATATTCTTTGTTTTCGCTCAATTCTTGACAACATCGTTGAGTGAGTGGCTTTTTGTAAGTTCCTCTAGAAAGGCCACATTAAATTTATATATATATTTAGTTAGCACATTGGTGTGATTAGCGGGAAGGCTGTGTTTTGCATGCAGTCCAGTGTTACGAGTGCCCACACTAATTTTCATCCACTACGCAAAAAGTCGAGTTTCAATATGAAAGGATTGAATTCAAAAACTTCAACTGAAAATCGATATTAGATTTTTTATATATTTTAATGTTTTTCAATAGATTTGCTTTATGTCTGATTGTAGATTATTTCGTCGTTATTATTTTATATTAAAATTTAATAAATTAAAAAGAGCAAATGTCAACCGCAGCAAATAAAAAACTCATTGATAAAATTGTTCAAAAAAAAGTTTTTTATCATTATTTAATTTAAACAATTAGAGAAATAACTGAAAACATCAACATAACGTACTAATGTAATGTGATGTTGAGCCTTTTCCGAGTTAATGCATCTGGGCACTTTTACTCTTTGATAGCTGGGGAGTTTCTGCAGAGTCCCACCCATCTCACTGACTAATTTAAGTATTCCTCATAATCTTCGTGATTATTCAATGACTGATCTGAGATCTGCGTACCGCCCCGTGCAGTTAGTGATTACTATGAGATTAGATAGTGCTAAGTAGGACAGCCTGTCGGTCTTCGCATATAGCTTCAGAGCTCTGTCCGTTATATATTTTTTGACTGGATCTATTTTCAGATCTTTTAGCACTTTGAAGAGCCTGACTTTAAGCAACTTGTAGCTTCTGAATAGTAGAGTCGGCAGCTTTGCTATACGAAAACACACCCATAAAGTAGTGCTGGTCTAATTATTTTACTTTTTCATATTAACTTATTTTTTGTTTTGGATTTTATTAAACTATCTTGTGATATATTTAGACTAATCTACGAAGTTCGATAAAAAGAAAGTAATGTAAAATGGCATTACGTATAATCATATATCACATATGTAAATCATCATATTTTTCTTTTATAAATTATAAAAAATTTGATAAAAAAATGAATCGGGTCTATGAAAGGCATCCAATTTCTACAGTAGAATCTCGTGCTATTTAAAAAATCGTACATGAAAAATTAGGATATTTAGGTTGAGAGGGCGCAAGGTGGTTCTCTTTACTATTAAAACTTAAACTCGAAGATATCTTTTGTCATTTGTTGTGATTTGCTCAGAATTTCCCGAGAAAGGAGAATACTCTTATTCGTACAGGAAATGACAGTTCAATATTAAATAGAAGGTCTTGAGAGTAAATATTTGTGATGAGAGCATCTAGTGACAATTACAAATATTAAATCAATCTCTCAACATATTTACTTGATTTCACAACGTAAGACTTCAAGCCTTTCCGTGAAATCTACATGCCAAGAAAATGAAAGCATTTGGGAAACATAGTAGTCTAATTTCCATGTCTAGAGAGACATGCTTCTCATTTAACAGGGAATAAAATTAATTGATTTTGTCCGCAAACACCTATTGTGGTTCTGATTTCTAAAAACTTCTATTTAGGTGTGATGGCATGTATTTTTTATCGCGAGAAATTGCACTGATTATATTGTTCCAAAAGCAGTTATATTCCGAATGGCCTAAAAAATAAGAATTTCTTTTATAGAGACAAACATTTTAAGTTTTTATACTTTACTGTGGCATATAACATTTTTACCCACATAAACCATAAAAGCAAACTTAATAGATTTCTGGTGATGTTATTTAAAGAAGAATGCTGACACATCTAAAAGAAATAAATTAATGAGCATAACAAGCTTAATTATAGTGCAATTATATAGCACTTTTTTAATATAAGTATTTCGATCCCAAATGTTTGCCTAAATAATTGTGACTGTGTAGAAAGACTTATTTAAGGGGAGTACAAAATTCGTAAAGTTATTGAACTTTTGTATAAATTTTTTAAAATTTATATGCAATGGTGCATATATGCAATAGATTATGTCAAAAACAGAGACACGACATAGTTTTCTGTTAAACAGATAACCAGCAAAACGTCATTTATTACTTCTTTGAACTGAAAGTGTGTTCTGTATAATCCTTTACATTGCTGGTATTTCGGAATATATATTTTTCATATGAAGTATGAAATCAGTTAATTATTAAATTCTTGATATAAAAAGGGAGTTGCAGCACAAATACAGTATGATAAAATGCTAAAAAATGGTCTTGATGACTGTTGTTTGGCATTATCCGAAACAGCTGTATGGTCGTTTCAAAATATTTATCTAATTAAAAATTAATTTTTGTGTTAATTTTTCTCCATTATTAGCCGTTATTCACTTTTCTATTCGAAATAGGAATTTTGTCATTGAAAATATAAACTTTAATAATTATTTTATATATAATCTTTTACTAATGCAAATAGGTTATGTTAGGTTAGGTTAGCTTAGCTTAATTTAGTTGAACATAAACCTGTCATAGAACGATTGGGCCGTAGCGACACGAGGCAGTATTAAACGTCCCTCTGGATTTAGCAAGCAGCAGGCAGTAGATAATATAGAAACATCAAGCACTTTTTAAAGGTTTTGTAGAGTGTTTTCACACCAGATCTTATTGAGAATTTAAACAGAATCCTTTGTGGCTTAGTTCAAGGATATCTGGCCCGAGATATCAGGGCGATCATTAAATCAAATCTGTGTTTCATATTACTTTGGAGTTATTGGGAAATGAAATTATGATTGCTTAACTTATTCTTTTGAATAAATTTAATTTTAAATAAGAAAAAGTTGCGAAGTTGAGTGCATATGAACCGTTTTATAGATAGATCTAATATATACAATGTGATATAGAAATAAGGTTTTTTAAAATATGTACATTATTATGATAGTGAACTTTGGTTTAAGAGACAATTTCTATATTTTATATGAATCAAAAGAAAGACATAATGTAGTTTTTGATTTTAAGATGGATCATAACTTCTTGGTACCGGTAATTTAACTAAAAAATTCGGTTAAAGAGAGTCAGATGAGAAATATAAATTGCAACAGGAACAAGTTAGTGCTTTTATTGTTGATAGACGTCTTCACCTTAGCGTCAACATTCGCATATCCGGAAGCGTTTTAGATTAGAAATGAATATACCTTGAGTTCTTAGTCCAGCCACTAATTTAAATATTATTTTCTTCCAAAAAATTAACATTTTTCTAGACCAAAGGATGATGTATAATTTGTGAGATTTTGATCTTTAATGAAGAAATATGTGCACATATCAACTAGAAATATATTTTCTTCTTGTTGGTAGAGGTTTTCATAATCACAACCTCTGATGTACCTATCGTATCACCAAGTATAAGAAGTAATAGGTTAACGTAATAGGCTCAAATCTAACAAAATAATAAAAGTGGTATCATAGGTCCTTAGCTGCTTTTTTATAGGCGCTTCACTTGTGAATGTGAATACAATTTCTGTTTAATCGAAACCACATATTTTATTATGTCTGATTCATTAAAAGCAATAACTTTCCTTTTATAAATATTGTTGAATATATAATTCAAACATTTTTAATAAAAAGACCATAAAAATCAAATATGCATTCAACCAAAATCAGTGAATAAAATCTGACCAAGCAAACAACCTAATCTTGCCTAATCCGAAAGTCTTCAAATTCCCTATTAACCCATAAAAGTCAATCAAGAGAGGGGCGAACATCTTGTAAGCTCGTCAAAGTGCAGCACAGACCACGACCACGTCAAACAAAAAGTCAATCTCTTTGCCGAGATGGACCAAATTTGTGGCTGTCTGAGCTGCTTCCACACGCACACTAAACCGAAAAGACTCTGAAGTTTTCAACTTCAAATTCAACTTCAACTTCAACTTCCCATCCGAAAAAAGATATTTTAAAATTACTTAAAAATAAATACTTAGTAAGATAATGACTATGGGAAGATGTGAAGGACTTACCTTTGCTGAGCAAACATTATCCAGTGTTGAAAGCCAATCGATAAGAAGATTAAGTTTTTGTTTTGATTTGATAACCACAAAGCACAACGTGAATGATTTTATTGAAATATCAAAATTACGAGATTTTGGGTTTCTACTCAAACTTTTCAGATTTTTTTCAAATTTCAAAAATATTCAATTTTAATTATGAAGAAATTTCGTTAATGAATTTTATTAGTTTTGTTTAGTTTCGCAATGATTTCGGTCTGCGGTCGGTCGATTGTTGATTGGTGTTGTCTGGGTTTGGTTTTTGTTGATTGTGAGCTGCGACACTTGGCTGAGCTTTCCGGGGGCTTCAGCTATTGGTTTTTGTGTTGTAGTTGTTCCTTGTTAATATAATTTTTTGTTTGTTTTGGGAATTGATTTAACTCGTTTTACATGAAACACTTTAAACTTATAGACGATTTAGCAAGATAATCGCTTGATTTATGACACCTTCTACTGTTGCAAATCTAAAGGAAATAACTTAACTAGCATTTAGTGTGTTTTCAAACGCCTTTCACGGGGACTGACACTTTAAATATCTAAATATATCTGAAATGTACACATAACCTACTATGAATATACTAAGAACGCACTGTGTGCATATATACGAGCCAACATGCAGATACTACTATACTCCATCGCAGGACTCCCTGCGATTGGTTACGATTTTTATGTAAAACAAAAATATAAACAAAATCGATATTGAAGTGTAACAAAATAACAAGTAACAAATTTTATACAATTTTCTCATGTTTTTTGTTATGTTATGTTGTTTTGGCCTTATTTTGTTGCCTTCAACATTGCTGCTTCATGTCTCAGCAAGGAGCACGCAAGGATAATGCTGCTACGCTTTTTGAATATATTTTTTGACTTCAACTCTGGTGTTGTACTTTGTTATATGGAGTATTTTCGTATTTCCGTACTTCTCGGTTACTTAGGAGTATCTGTATGCATACGTTTATGACTTTGCACTTCTATACGTATAGTTGTGTCCTTACGTCCCTACGTCCTTATGTAGTTATGTGTACATTTACAACAAGGTATTTATATTCGCCTTCAGAGTCCTTCACAATAAATGCCACACACTCACACATAGACATTAACTCATAGGGCCCTTCAAATATTGAAAGTGACTCCTTCAAATATTATATTTATTGTTTATTGTCTTCCTGCGAGTGAAGGACATTTTCATAGAGTGGCACATTTAATCAAAATATATTCAATAATTTTACTTTGTCTTTGAAATTTTAATTTATTTAAAATTTTAAATAATTTTAATTTTATTTTTTTTTTTATAAAAAATCAATTTGTTTTCTCATACTAGAAGGACTTCGAAACATGTGCGTTGTACCATGGCGGCTCTGAAAACCAAAAATCAACTAAGAACCTTTCAACTGCCAAAAAGGAAATTAAGTAAACAAAAAATTTTAATTATTTACAATTTAATTATTTTCATAATTAAACAAAAAATTGAATTTGAAGTTTTCATTAATAATTTTTAGTGATTTTTGGCACACATCCTTCCACGCCCTTTGCTATTCATTTTCATTTTTCTTTTTTATTTTACAAAATGCACGTGACTAAAATCGTAGAGGTCAACATTTTTTCGTTTATAGGTCAAAAAATTTGGTGTTTTCATTTGGTGTCTTCCCAAAGTAGCTCCGAAAATCACATTTGGCATAATTCACAAAATCACAAAATCACAAAACCACAAAAAATTCACTTGCAATTATCCTTTTCAGTTAAAGTTTTTATTCGAATTTCGATTGAATTTTTCCTTTCCGTTCAAACTAATTTGATTAAAATGTTCAACTCAAATGTCACATTTCTTCACAGTTTTACCGTTCATGCGAAAAGCATTCCTAACCATGATATTCGTTGAAACACTCTGGACAGCTTTTGGTATTGCTTTGGCTTTTCACTGCTCGAGTCCTGCTGCGTGTGTCAGTGCCGTCTCCTGTGCTCTAACGTGTTTGCCAAAAAATCAGTCTGTGAACGGCGTTCGTTTCGCAGACAAGACGAAAACCGACACTCACTGTCTCTGGAACTTTGCAGAAATGTGCTGCTCTGCTGTTACGATTTTACGACACCACGTTACGCTACTCCCTGCACAGCAAAGTAGAGCGACTGGCTCCCTATAACATAGCCTATACACACCCCATTTTGAGGAAAATTTTCCCTACTTTTCATAAGTGTTCTATGCGATAATTGGCATACTTTGCAGCCGGCTTCGTATGAGTGGCGAGAGGTGAGTGGTGAGTGATGAGTGGTGAGTGGAGTTAGAAGAAATATTTTAAAATTTTCATTAGTTTATCATATTAAATATCTTCCCATTTCGTTTGAATAATGGGAAATTTTCAAATTAATATATAATAATGCAATAAATTAGATGATAATATATGATATTCTTAACTAACTTTTAGCATATGTCTAGGATATGTTTGCAATATTTTAATATAAACATTTTTTAATATATATTCTGACATATCTATGAAGTTTGCTATCATTGTCAATGAAATCCTTGCAATTTTTTGATACTAGTAACAAAGACAATAGAAGTAATTATCATAATTATAAATCAAGCAATAAATCATGATAGTGATATCAATAGCAACTCTAATAGTCATAATAATAATGGGGACAGAATGATGTAGTGATATGTTTCCAAGTTTTACTGTTTCTCTTAGTAAATACATATAAAGTTTTCTACACAAATTTCCACTTCCATCTTTCTGTAGTGCCCCGGTAATCCCAGTAACCTTTAGGCAACCTTGAGTATTGTTAGAGAGACAAATAATGATGTTTATTAGAAAGCTACAGAACATCTTCAAACTGTAACGGTATAAGGCTTTAGACTTGTACATAACCATAATACTGGTACCCACAGCTGTAGTAAGTTGGAGTTGCCTAAACTATTTTTATGTGAACACAGCCTACTTCTTTGGTTATAATAGGTAAAGAGTGATCCTTTCTTTTCCCTTCTTTTCTATGATTTCTACCTAGAATATTGTTAAAGAGACAAATAATGATGTTTATTAGAAAGCTATGGAACATCTTCAAATTGTAATGGTATAAGGCTTTAGACTTGTAGATAACCGTAATACTGGTACCCACAGCTGTAGTAAGTTGGAGTTGCCTATTTCTATGTGAACACAGCCTATTTCCCTGGTTCTAATAGGTAATGAGTGATCCTTTCTTTTCTCTTCTTTTCTATGATTTCTACGTTAAAGATTAGAACATTTATTTTCTCTTAACTAACCGTCGTGAAATAAATAGTAAATACCTTTTAAAACTTGAGAAAGCCAGATCTTAGGAGTTCTTCAAACTCGTTAGGTAGGGAAGGCAATAGGAAGTGTGTGAGTACTTGTTCCTTTAGGGATTATTTTGCACTTATTATTTCAACTTTGAGGCAAGAAATCTGAAGAGCCATGAAATTGTACTAAATGCTTATTAAATTTGCTGGTTCACCATCACGTTTTGGTGTGTAAGGATGAAAGTGTAAATGATAGAGGAGCAAGGTCTTCGTTTTTGCCCCTTTATAATATTACTATGTTACACGGCTTCATACCCGAAATCGTGAGAATTACAGTCAAATAAATAAAAAATTAAATTTTAGAGAGGATTCAGTTCGCTTTGAAACTAAATACTGGCGGTTTGTAGGTATATGTGAAATTCAGGACCCTTTTCCATACTGTTAAACTACAAAATCTATTTGTGACATACTTAGTCACTGATCGCAACTTTAATATGCTATAGAATATGTAAATAAATAATCATTTCTTTAATTATTAAAATAAAATTATTAAAATTAATTGTAAAAGTGTCATCTATTCCGAGTTTTCTACTAATAGGCTTTATAGAATAATTTACTTTAACATTGATTTAATATTTATTTATGCTATATTAACATATTTTATTTCATATCTATAAATATAAATATTAATTCAATAGACTTTGTTACAATACAATTGTACGTTTTAAGGGATTATCCGTTTTGTGGTCTTAATTTGGTAGCAGTATTTTAGTAATATATATCAAACAGAACTGACATCTGGCAGAACTGGCATTATAACAAATATTTAATTCGATCAACATTATTTGATCGATCAGTAACCACAAATCGTTCTAAGATTGTAATTTCAACCAAATGATTCACCGAATTATATTCAGTGATGAGATCCATTATTCAGTTAGTGGATATGTTAACAAACAAAATTGTTCCATCCACAAGATAATGTAAAAGATAATTACATTCACAAAAAATCTCTGTACAGTGTGGCATTTGATCTACAAGTAAATAAATAAAAATAACGAAAGGGTGACACAAACTGTCAGTTTTGACCACTGCAACCTATCGATGACCAAGTTTTGTGGAGTAAAACTTAATATTGGGATGTGGAAGGTATATGGCTTTAATAGCCCCACAACATATCCTGAGTTGGTTTTGTTCTGTGAAAAATTTCTCAGACGTGAAAAAGATGTCCTGTAGAGGATTCAGAGCAGTAGCTTTTCGCTCTCAGCGAAAAACAGAAAAACAGAAAAACGGAAAAAGCATCTCTTGGAGCAAAAGAAGTAAAGCACTCTTTTTTGACACATTGAGCAGCAACGTATGCTGCCGCTGTAGCATGGCTCTAACACAGCGCACAACGCGCATCGTATGCTTGTATGTGTGCGTGTGTGTGTTTGTGTCGGTGTGTGAATGAAGTTGACGTTCCTTTTTGTGCAGGTTTTTACTCGTTACAAGTTGACAAAGTCGCATGCACGATATTGTAGAACATTACTTCATTGCTTTTTTGTTTTTTTGTTTTTTATAATAAAAATATGCGGTATTCGCTCGCTTTGGTTTATTCGTTGAATTCGATTCCTTTCGAATGTTTTGGTGCTGCTGCCAAACTGGAAAATTTGCTGAATATTTTCTTCAACAGAAAAATTTTTTTCTTAAACCTGTGCACGCGCGCGGGTGTGGTCCATGGAGCGCGCATACATTAAATAAAATAAGAATTTTTCTTGGATTATCTGTGGGCAACACAGTGAACAGCCAAGCATAGAATGGGATTAATGAAAATAAAATTCGAAATATTTGTTTATGTTTAGTGTTTGGATGGACCTCTTCAATTTGCTTTGTGTTGTTTTCTAAGAGATATTTTTCATAATTTTTTTTTGTTTTTTTTTATATATTATTTTTGACTGATTTGTTTTGTTTTGACTTGATTTGGATTTGTTTATTGAGCAGCACATTTCTACCACTTCAGTCAGTTCACACGAGTCATGGCAACTAAACACTTTGTCACGTTGTACGTTGTTTTCATGCCATCATGCCATCATGCCAAATGTGAAACACAAAAAAAAAATAAATTTCATTTGTTTTCAAAAAATTAATTACTTTAATTATTTTTAATTTTTTTCTTGATGATTTAATCTTTGTTTTTCTTGCATTAAATTTTTTTTTGTTTTTTTTTCTTGAATATTATTTTTTAGTTTGCCATTTCCACCCCTAAGCAATGTTAGTTACATTCGTGAATAATTCGCAAAGCACCTTTTTCCTCAAATGATTTGTGATTTTGGTACGTTAAGCATATTTCCACCACTTTTTTTACATTTACACATTCTACTGAGATTCAGATTCAGATTCGGATTCTTTTGCTTGTGTTGTAAATGCAGGCAACGCACACAATTTTCACTTAGAATTTTCCGACAAACGTTACAGACTTTCCGCATACGTTCGCTATAACGGCACAACAACTGAGAACTGAAACAATAAATGCTGAACGCTCACACAGGAACCTGCTGGCCTGTTTGTCTGCCTGTGTTTTTGTTTTTTTCTTGTTTTTGCTTACCGACTGCCTCACTTTATTTTACTGCTTTTTTGGTTCATTTGGCTGCTTGCCACTACCACATCGTCGGCGTACAAAATTTCATGGTGAGTTTCGCTACACGATTGCGAGTAAGCAGAAGCAGTAGCAGCAAACAACCAACAACCAAATTTTTGCAGATTTGACGATTTAATGAGAAAAAAAAAGAGAAAATCACCAAAACCCGACAGTGGTTAACACAGCATTGCTCTCTAGCGAATCAAGTCGCAGCATGCCATTTATGGCGCACACGCAACAGCATCTTTAGTGGTACTCTTACGAAAAGTCTTATACGCCACAGGTAAAAAACTCTTCTACGCTTCTCAAATTGACTGTTATTGCTGTCGATGTTGCTGTCGATGTTGCTGTCGACGTTGTTTATATTGTTTATGTTATGCAGTTGTTTGTATTGTTAATGTTGTTGCTGTTTGACTGTTTGATTGTTTGGAGGCTTGGTTGTTTGTGTTTGTCATAAGAACAGCATTAAGGCACACATTTTTAACCTGTGCATGAGCAAAGGAATTATTGTGCTGGTACATGGACAAGTGGATTACAGCACTTAGCGATGAGTTTGTGCTGTGCTGTGCTGTGCTGTAACTTAATCTTTCCATTTGCTTTGCCACCAAATCAACCCAAACCAAGTCAAACAAGATCATATTCACTTAGCCCTTTTCATCTGCCATGCAACAAGATCAGATTTTAATTATTTTTGTTGTTTTTTTTTTTTTGTATTTTTTACATTGCAGTTCTTGCAATTGTTCTTCACTGTAGACTTGCTATAGCTGTTGTTGTTGTTGGTAGCACTCTTCTGCTTGTTGTTGTTGTACTTGCTATATTCTTTGCCTTTATGTTCTCTATATGCGCAAATAGCGTTTGCTTGGTATGGCTTCCTTTGCTTTGTGAATTCTGCGCTGCATTCATTCATTATTTTTTCTCACACACCAACTAAGCAAACTAAGCCGAAGGAGATTAGGGCTCAGTCACTTGCTTCGCTTTAACCCTAAATTATGTTTTGCGGTACCGAAGTTATAAAAACCAGTTTTATCAATTTTTGTTGTTGTTGTATATTGTTTTTAAGTCTTGCTTTTATTAATTTGTTTTTATTTTTTTTTTTCGTCTTTGTTTTTGTTTTTGTAACGATTCTTACTTTCATGACTTTTCTTCTGGTTTGATGCCTTCTTACCTTGCGTTTTGGTATGAACGGAAGAAGTTTTGTTGTTGTTGTTGTTGTTGTAATAATTGTTTTTGCTGTTACTTTCATACGTAACTTGGAAAAAATATGCGTGGTCATTGTTGTCTTCTAACATTTTCGCACGCTACACAAATTAAGCAAGTATACTTAGTTCGCAGAAATATTTTAAAGTTTTTTAGTTTCAAAGTAGAGTGTTACGTATACTCGTAGCAGGTCAACTGCGCATTCATTTTTAAAAATTCATTGCAGAAGTTGTGGAAGCTATAGTTATAGCATTTACTCTATATATGCCCATCTCTGGCCCCCCGAATAAATAAGTTTTTAATGAAATACTTTTTTTAACAGTTTATCAGACTGTTCATCAGTAAGGACAAAAGGTTTTTTAAAATTTCTAAATTAACATACTTATCTTGTCTGTTTAAATGTTTAAGTTTCACTAATTTACCTAATTGACAACAACCTACTATATTTCTTTTTACTGAAAGTCGAAAGTATGTCAAACCACAGTGTGGTGTGAATAGGAATAGGGACTTTCAATGATATGCAAATAACTGTACTTAACTTGGTTCCTCATTAATAAGAAAAAATCAGCATTTTCAGTTGAATGCCTCGTAAAGACATCAATCTTTAGGGCGGTTAGAGAAAAATGAAAAAATATTGAATCTTTAACTTCATGTTTTTCTTGCCATCGGCATTATAAAAAGGACAAAAAGTGCTTGACATAAACTTTGACATCTCCCAATGCATACATATCGTAGCTGAAACAAGCTAGAGACCCAGAGAACTAGAAGATCTTAGTCAGCTAAAGTGCGTTTACTTGAAATCAATGTAAGAGTTTATTATAGATTCGAAACAGTTTTAAATACTTCCGGTTTCATGTAGTATTACCAAAGCTTATCAGACTCAAGTGATTCCTTATGAATTATCGTAATAACGTACCATTTAATTATTAGTACTATGTCTTTTAGCATATGTTTGACAGCTTTACTGAAAGATATGTAATAAAGTAAATTTTTTTTAAAAAGTTTTTGAAATTTTTGTTCAGAATTTTTTTTTTTAATTCTGAAAACCGGTTACCTATACCGAGTATGGCTGAGTATTTTAGTTTTTAGAAAATTGAATTGTTATTTGATTTAGTGCAGACAATGAGAAAAGTATTGATGTCGAATGAATAACATATTTTTATAACTAACCATGTTAACAATTAATTTTTGAATAGTCAAAATATATTTTGGTTTTGTTGAACATAATTTTAAAATAGTAGTGGTCATACTGTGCTAGTATTGCCGATTAGTTGAATACACAATTTTAATTTTTATTTCATTTTGATTTGATTGCATTTATTTCCTCAATGCTAGACAAGCGAAGGGCCGATCACTCAAGCTGAAATGTGTGAATGTGTGTTAAGTATTCGTAGACTCCGTAAAATTTTTACTGGGCTGCGTAAATAGACCAGAAGAACGACAGAACGACTGAACGTCAAACGGCAGTCGCGCTACAAAAGAGCGCCCTAAACCTTGACAGTCTTTAATTAATTATTTGAAAAATGGTTTTTAAAATGTTTTGACAGTTTATGCGAGTTTAATTGATTTAAGTTGTGGTTTTATGGTGTGTGTTCTTCAGGCTTTGTATTCAAATTAATGTAGAATGTGGTCTCGTTGTTGCGTGTGGTCCCGCACCGAAGAGTCGCTCCAACTGTGAAAAACACGTACTTAAATGGTTACCGATTGGGAGATAAGTTTAATGGCTTTTAATTTGTAAGGCTCGAAATTGTAGACTCTACGAAGTGTTAATTTTAATCTGTAAAATTGCTTGAACTAGTTTTACAGAATTTTAAACAGAAACCGTAAACATAACTTTTTTCCTTTATGAATATAATGCAAGTTTGAGTTAATAAAAAAAAATTACTTCTAACACACTTTACATAGATATTTACATTGTAAATAAGTTATTTTTTATTTTCTTATAAAGTAAAAACGTAACCTAATCGAATTTGTTGTCAATCATTGACATTAGAGAAGAGTCAGTCACTCTAAAATTTTACAAATATTATATGAGAATGTTCCTAAAAAAATATCATTCAAAGATAACGCTATCCCCCGTTGCAGAACAAAGAAACAGGAACGAAGTTCTGTATAGTTCGGGTCAAACAGCGGGTCAAACAGCTGTATATTCATCTAATGGAATCAACAAATAAAAACACAAGTCATGGAATTTATATAATCATTGGTAGTTTTTTATGCTTTTAATAATTATAAAGACGAAAAATTAAGCGAATCTAAAAGGATTTTTAATTCCGTATGGAAAAATATATTTCTTAACAACGATATGTCGCAGAGAACAAAATTTCAATTACATATAGCTATCTCAAGACCTTAAGATGCCATGTGGTACAGGTGTGGGTAATACTTCAATGTAAGGAAGTGGTTTTATGCAGGTTGTTTTAGGAAAAAATTGTCCGGTTAGCTGAAGGCTCAATTGATCGCAGGCACATAGCTAGATGGGTGAAGCTTGAGGACAGTTAAAATTCAAGCTAAAATGGATGTTGTGTTAAGTGACTTAGTTCCTTCGATATCAATATTTGGATTGAATTGCTTAAAAATGGTCATATCTATTAATAGCAGAAGTAGTGACAAAAATACATGACGTGGCTTTAAAAGAACATGGATTAGCTGTGATTTAATGGAAACACTTTGCACTTTCAAAGGAACAAAAACATATTTAAATGCGGGTTTGTCAGGAATATCAGATTTATTTTAGTGACGATAAAAAAGGTCTTGATCATGATTTTAACACTATTAATAAAACTTAGGTATGTCACTATGAATTTTAAACAGCAGGCTTCTAGAACCGCAAAGAGTTTGTCTTTTTGGATTGCAAAAGTAATTATGTTCGGAACGGTTTAACTCAAACTATTATGATAATTTTCTAAATAAATTAATCCCCATAAGTCTTCGTATTTACGGAAAAAAGTCGTTTTCCATTATGGATGTGTAAGTCGAAGAGCTTGGATGTGGATGTGTAAGCGAAAAACTGTGTGTCAATAAACTAAAGTTCGAATTGTTGGAAAAGTCAGCTTATTTAACTGTCTGATCTAACCAGATTTAATTCCCTCTTACTGTTGGGTCTTTTCATATCTAAAACGGTTCTTTAGAAACCGTTCAGACCCTTTATTTTATTAAACCGTAGAAGGTAATAGTTGTCGAGGAGAAGCTATTGCATACTTTTTGTAAACTACCCGAAGAATTTGAAGTCCATATATTGGAAGATCGTTGCATTATGTTTATTAAAGTGAAAGATTGCGTAGTCTTAAAAAAGAAAGTGTTGGAATTATAAATCCATTTATTAATTTCAGTTTAGCAAAGTATTTGAACACACTTATAATTTTCACCTTCTTAATTCTCTCAATATTTGAATTAAAAAAAATGCTGATAATTTAACATCACTTAATAATATCAGTATAAATATATTCCTATTTATGATTTTGTATAACTTTACTTTATTTCAACTGACTGCGATGAACAATATATAATCCAATATTTTTCCGAAATATGACAAAAGAAATCACATTCACACAGGTATTAAACATTAAATATTCTTCAATAAAAACCTGGAAGAATACAGAGCGTAGACGAAGTCACAAACTCTAAAAAGGTTACGAACACTGCTCAGAAGTAATGAGAGATAACACAGGAAATGTACGATCG